GAGATAGTACAATAAAATTGAGGTAAACCACATAGTTAAATGTAAACATGTTCAAAGATTCCTGATTGATGTTTTGAGCCGATTACTTATCATCCACTCAAGGTGCACAGTAGATAGGTTAGATAAGCAAACGTCAATGAGAATCTCAGTGTACAGTCTTAATGCCTATGACTTAGTCGAAGAGGTTTAACCCTACCTTATCAATTGAAAGTATTTGCCATTTTGAATGGATCGTAGTTTCAAATTGTTAAGGCAGCATCCTGTCTAAGACATTAAGCATGATTACATATATCTAATAACCTGGGTGTTCACAAGCTAAAAGATACTTATAGCTTCGAACGCAGACTCACATTAGTAGTGATAAGATGAATTAGTTGGTTAAAATAAAGCTTATATAATTGTCCCTTTATGGTAAAAGTCATTACCATACAATTTAGTTATTATTCCAATAGTTAATACTTTAGTGAGCAAATACTAATGATGTAGCAAAGCAATTTTCGCAAGCAATCATGTAAGAAAGTAACAGGATACTTTTTCACTCGATATCAAAAATAGGACAAAATTACACGTGACCGAATACCTGAGCAATGACTTCACCATTAGGTAATGGAAGCGCGGCTGCTGCAACCAGGCTGTCACAGAAGCGGACCAGCGTTACCTGCCGATTGATTGGCAGCCCGAGTCGTTGTAGGGCCGAGTTCATCAGAGAGCCAATCTTGTTCTTGCCCATAGCACTGGCCAGGTACCAGACACCGGGAAGTCCGGCGGCATCGGAAGTTATCGGAGCCGCATAGTTTGAGTTTGTAGCCGAGTTGGAATCACTGTTTGCGGTAGATCGGTAGCCAGGCGGCAATGGTGAGGAGCAGAATTCACGATCGGGTTGTAGGTAGAAAGGTGAGTGCGGAAGGCCGGTAGTGAGTGGGCGGCGGGCGCAGTAGGTTTCGAATAAAGCTACTGGACATCGCTCGAGCTGCTCGGGTCGGGCGGGTACCACGTGGTCGGCATGCCGTGGCTTCAAAAGCAGAAGATTAGAGGAGTTTATACCAGAGCTGCTGAGTACCGAGACGGGTGAGGAGGATGTAGTAGAAGCCAGATCTAGCAGAGGTTGAGACATGCT